CGACGTAGTACGGACGTAGTACGAGTACGTACGACGAGACGAGACGAGACGAGACGAGACGAGACGTACGACACGACACGTACGAGTACGAGAGTAGAGAGAGAGAGAGAGAGAGAGAGAGAGAGAGAGAGAGGTGTTTTGTACATAATCCTTATACCAACTCCAATGGTGGCTACTTCAGGAGTCCTTGGGACGGTTTTGAATGTTAGATGAAAAGCCAAGGATTTGTCTGGTCTTTGATTTTCCCTTGCAAAAGTTCACAGTTCCGTAGAAATATAGCCTAGTGTTCATCTTGAGCCCCCTCTTGAAGAGTTGTAAGAAAAAATTGGAATGAGAAAGATGAAAAATGTTAATGGGCTTTTGCATTGCAAAACCATGTGGTTCCTTGTAAAATCAAGCATCAATTAGCACTCGTACTATGAAATCAAGCATTGTGCTCTGTTCTGCTTAATTGATAATCAGTTTTATGTACCACTTGTTTGGCTGCCACGTGTTCAAACTGGAATTCCATCCTTGAGTTTAGGGGTGGTAACGGGTCAGGTCCAGGGACCCGGAAAAATTGATATGGGACGTGGAACCCGGACCCAAAATTGGAGTGAATTGGGATTTCCTGATTTTCTTTTTAATCAACAGCACTTTAGGTTTATGGTCATTCCTAAATGACAGTAAAATGTCAATTCCGATGATACCGGGCTTTGAGGTAAGCCTTACTTGTATAGTATACAACTAGCACCTTGCATAAACGTCTTTTAATATATTAAGCTATTAATTAAAAGAGAAATTATCCTACAGGACTTTCATGCACCCATGTATATAGGACCCTAAAAGATCACTATTAAATTTGGCAGGAATTTATAGAAAAGTCAAGTTTTACATTGATGTGATAACTTTTTTAGAGATATGTGCTAATTTTAATGGTGATTCTTTGATGTCCTATACACATGGGTGGGGGAGGGTGATCATAACTCTAACTATAATTCTAACTATAGGATCATTATTCTAACTAAAAAGTGTACCAAGATGCAACAGTGCTAGATTGCCATGCAAACAAGCCTCCATATTATGAATTTTGGATTTTGACAATGGTGCAAATCCATTATCCTTTTTCTCTCTTTCCTTTAGACGAAAGAGGAGCATGAATTAAGCGAATCTCAAATCAAGGAGATTCAATTTGTTTTAGTTCGTCGCCCTTTTTCCATATCTTTGGATGTGGCAGTGAAAACAGTGAAGAATTCTTGATGATCTTGTCTATGGTAGGGGGTGTAATCAATCAGGCGTCAACAGCTATCAGCATCCAAAGAAGCCATTTCAAATCTGGAAAAGGGGCCTAGATCAGATGATGAAGTGGATGGAGCAAGACCGCAATATGAGAAATGGAGTTCCAACATAATTTCTGGTATTCTAAAGTTCTTCCCTTCTTCTATTGATTTAGATTAAGAAATGAAGCGGAAAAGTCTACATCCAAATTTACCAAAAAAAAAAGTAAGGAAAAAGAAATGAAAGATTTATGGATAGGCAATTGTATATCATATGACCATTTACATTTATGGGTGAGAGTCACTCTTGGCCATCATATATGAAATTTGATGGTAGGGTTCGTCACAAAGTTTTAGAAATTTTTTTTAGATTTTGAACCAAGTCAATGGAATACTCAGACGTCGGATTTTTCATCTAACAGCTAAAGATGATTGCGACCCAATATACGAACAATAAATTGTCTTATTATATATCTTTCCTATTGATAACTTTCAGATTACAAAAGTATCTCTTATACTAAAACTCTCCCTTCGAAAATGATTTGAAACAAAAGCCAAATGTAAATTTTTGTCCAATATTAAAGAGCATATTATATGCTCCCCCACGAGCATACTATAGTTCCTCCCTTGGAAGAAGGAAATCTTTTAGCTTCCTTGTGACTTTCAATAATGCATTTTGAACTCGGTTATGCATTTTTTGAGTTGAGCGGTTTTGACCTCTCACTGGAACACAAAACTGAGATCCTTTTAAGGCTTTGGAGGCCCAAACTTCTAATGATTTAACAAATGTGGTGAAATATTTCACAATTTCCCATACAAACCGATAAAGCAGCCAATAGCCACCTAATAGTGCTCAAGTCATTGCATTTAAGTAGTTGAGTTCCATTCAAGTATGACATAGATGGTATGGTACCAGTAAAATATGGTAAAAAGTTAAAAATTGATATTTAATGGCTCGCATTACCTATGTGATGTGCGCTGCGCTAGCTTAAATTTTAATTTTTATTCTAATAATGTTTTTATTTCTTGATTTCTAAATTAAATCAATGGAAAAAACTAAACCTCTTAAATAATTAGTTTCTTTTGGGTAGTTTAGCAAAAAAAAGGTTATCTACATGCGGTAGAAATGAATTCAAGACATTAGGTTGCAGCTTGCTGCCGCCCTGATCACCTAGAGAAAAAAGAAAAGAAAAAGGTGGAGAAGAAAAGAAAAAGGTGGAGTACGCCAACTTATTGGTTTTTTTTTTAGAAATAAAGTCTAAAGATTTGAATCCTTGATCTCTTACACCCAAACTGATGTATGTTTTGGTACGCAAAAGTTCAAGAGTAAGTAGTCCTCTAACCATATTTTAAATTTATTTTTTTTTTGTTTGGCTTAAACGAGATTTTGCCCTAGCCTATTATGTGCACCCAAGCTAATATATCTTCCACTAAGGGAAAGTTTTGAGAGCTAATCAATCTTCAAATATTTTGTTATTTTTTTCTGGCTTAAACCGGATTTGGCCAAGCCTAGCGTCAATTGGTATTTGGCATTTTACAAGTTAAGGTCCAAGTCTAGAGCTATCAAACTTTGGCCACATTTAGCTGCCTTCATAGAAAAGGATCATCATTTTTGGAAAAGGGTAGCATGCATCGTATAAATATATGCAACTGGATAACCAGCATTGTCAAGTTTCATGAAAATATTTTTCACATGAAAAAATTCTTTTAGGTGGTTAGGTGTGGGAAGATTTTCGTACCAATTAAGTATCAATTGGTGTGCTCCCTTAAACAGTTAGATACGAAAAGATTTTCACACCAATTGATGTGAAAAAAATACACTATAACTAATTGATATGAAAATATTCTCACATTTAAGCCACGTGAAAAAAAATGGTTCGATCTGAAAATATTTCCACGAAAATAAAAGGACCTTCAAATTTTCCATACGATTAGGGGTATTTTGGACATCCGTAACGTAGAAAACAGAAAAAAGTCTAGATTTCGCAAATTATGTCAAACAAAGAGGGTACTTTCGTCCATTTTCATCTCTATAGAAAACCGACTCTAATAGATACTTTTTTCACAAGCAATTTTCTCTCTCTACGGCGAGATTTCTCTCTCTAGCCCCTCTCGAGAGTCCACTATTTTTTGAGTTCTCTTCCTCTTTCTCTCTCTAGTTTTTTTTGGCGGGGAAAGCATGGGGAAGAGGCGGTTGGCGCAGCTCTCAACGAGCAGCGATGAGGAAGAAGGAAGAGTGAGAGGGAAACATGGGGAAGAAGATAGAGAAGAAGAAGACGAGAAAGAAGAAGAGGAAGAAGAGGAGAGAGAGGAACGTGGAGCAGAAGAAGAAGAAGCAGAACGCCAACATTCAAAAACCCCAAAAAAGAAAATGAGAGAAGAGCAGGAATCGAGTGAAACTCATGAAGAAGAAGCGAAACCCCTTGGAGAAGTTATACGAAAATCGGGGAGGGGGAAAACAGAGAAGAAGCATTACAGTGCGTTTGAGCTTGATGGGAATCGCATTGAGCTGGTGAGAAAAACCAATGAGTTCCTTATTGGTTTTTTATTTGTTGTTTGGGGGTTTGTTTTAGTTTTCTCCATTGATTCTTAACAGAAATACCATTCCTTGATCCTTTTCTTTGTGGGTTAGTTTTCTTTTTTTCCATTTTATATTGCAGATTTGTTCTGATAAGAAATGCTATTCAATTTTTTATTTGCAATTTTTTATGTTAAATTGTGTTTTTTCCATTTTTGTATATGTGTGATAGCTTTTTCCCAGTTAATTGGGGTTGGCTACATGAGTCTTAGTTTGTTCTGCTGACCATACTATTAAGTCCCCGTATATTTTCTCACTACTTTCAACTATGTTCTTTTGGGCCTACTATCTCTGCTACACTCATTATATGGACATATTATTTGTTGATAGTCCAAATTTCCACCCCAAGAGCAAAGCTGATGTCATAGTTGTCAAACTTGCCCTTCAGCTTCGTATGCGGCGATCACAAAAAATTTCAGTTGCACACCTCTATTTCACCGACCCATCTCTAGTTCTATATCTCACATCTTCTTCAATCTCTCTATTTCCTGGATTATCGATCCAAGACATCGAAAGTGCGGTCTTTTTGGGATTTCATGATCGTATCAACTTCCTCGTCTCTACTCTTATTATTACTAAATTGGCATTCCTTATACACTGTCTTAGTCCGACTAATTTTAGTACCTTTAGATTTTAGAGCATCCCTCTAAGGTTTCAACTTTATGTTGATATCATTTTGAATCTCATTTATCAATACTATGTCATCTGTGAACAACATACACCGCGGTACCTTATCTTGTAGGTGTCTGGTTAAATCGTCTATAACTAAGACAAAGAGATATAGGCTTAATGTTGACCCTTGATGTAGACCTATTATCACTAAAAACTCATTCGTCTCTCCATTAGTTGTTCATATACTAGTTAGCACTCCATCGTACATATCTCTCTAAAAGTTGGACTTAAGTGATCTAACCGGTGTATATATTCTTTTGCTTTTCTTCTTTTTCTCCTCTTTTGTTTTTCTTTTCTGGCTCAGAACACTCACAAGTAGTCTATTACAATAAATTGACTTGAAAAGAAATAAAGATAAACAAATCTAGGATCTAAAAATTGATGCAACTAAAACCTCTCTTTTATCAACAAAAAAAACCACAATAATATGCTTGGGAATAAAAAAAAGGCACAATAAATAAATATGATAAGAAACACGAAAATGAATGCCGGAGATTACCTCAATCGGGTTTATTATACCCCACACCGAGTCATTACTTTCCAATAGCTCGAGATTAATGGTCAACCTTCAATCTCAAACATGGGAAAGCAAATAGGCTGAACCCTCCAATAGAATAAGAACTCATAACACAATGATCAAATCTCAAACTAAGGCTTACCCCGTGATAATCTAGTTGAGAGAGATAACATCTCATAACTAAACCATTAACCCTTTAGGCCATATGAGAGATAGGAGATGAGAGAGATTAATCCAAATAAGTGGGGCGTGCCCCTTTTCCAACACGAGAGAGAGAGAGAGAGAGAGAGAGAGAGAGAGAGAGAGAGAGAGAGCCTTCAACAAGTGGCTCGTGCCCCCCATATCATAAACTAGAGTGAAAGAGACCTTCTATGTGAGGCGTGCCCCTATGAGAGGAGAGAGAGAGACGCTATTGCTGGGGTGTGCCCCCTATATCTTTATGGGAGAGAAAGAGCAAAGATTTTGGTGTAGGAGATATTGGAGATGGCACCTTTTTATATAGTGCTTGAATATGTTTAGGGTTTCTTAGGGTTTTCTATGGTTTGCCTCTTTTAGTGAGATTGGATATGCACCATTGATCTTGGGTGACTTGTGAGGTGAGAAATATGAGCCATTCATTCCATGGATTAGCCAACAAGATTATATGAAATGTGCTAGAACCTTTATCCCCCATTTCTTAAACCATTTTCCCATCAATTTAATTTAAACATGAAAATATCAATAATAATATTACACTTGCCAATTTCATAGGCAAGCCTCCTTACACTTTCCATTGTTTTGATTTAAACCTCTTTAAATTCAAAACTTTCTTAAAACTCATTATCTTTTCCCTCAAGCCATAGGGCTTGAGCCAAGGAAATAGAAAGTGTATGGTGTGAGGCATGCTACCCTATGGTGGCTTCCATGGGCCCCACCAAATTTTCATGGTGGGCCCATATGTACTATTGGTCCTTCCATGCAATATTAATTTTTTTTAAAAATAAATTATGATTTTTTGAATTTCATAAAATCCCATTTGAATATTTAAATGAATATAAAATCAATATCTCTGTTTTTATAAATCCAAATTTCATAAATAAAATACTCAAATATTTAAAAAATTCAAATAACAATTCTATAAATCAAATATCATTAAAACAAATATAATTAAATACTTTTAATGGGAAATGGATCCATATGGTTTAGGAATGAATAAATAAACACTGGAGCACTACATCTTCTACTGTGGACTACGGTCTACACTTGCTTTCTCAAACTGACTCAGTGTTTCCCATGACCCACAGTCTCGCAAGGGTTCATTAGTGGGTCACCAAAGCCAGCCAATGGGCAAGGGATTGTAGTCCCAGTCTGTGGATTTCAGGTTCTCCGTCAGAGATATACCAAGGTCACCTAGACCTGATGCCACTACAATTCTATGGTGCATCGGGGTAATCTCTCGCACATGTACAAGCTTTACCCTAAAAGGTGATTCACTTTCCCGAAACGACTATCATATGTGCATGCGGTGTGATGGTTCACGGATGAGGCTTTGGCCCCCGTCTCTGAAGTCCTCCATCACACACAAGGGCCACACAGTCCCTCGGCTCACTGATCTGGGCATACTCCGACTTCATCAAGGGATGACCCACTATAACCCTTATCGGTTTAATCTCTATGCCCAGGTAACATGGGTTTTTTACCAACCGACTGACTTAGCTCGTCAAGCTCAGTCCGGTATCAGCAAACATCATTTGCTTAGTATGGTCCACACAAGACCATACTCCCACATGTTCCATAATATCAAAAGTTCAATTACAAGCACTCGTAAGGCCTTTAATGGCCACATATGCCCACCACTCTCACCATGTCGATGTAGTCTCCAGGCACTTCTTTCTTTTCCAACACCTACCAAATCAAATCTCGATGTACTCTATCATAAGCTTTCTCTAGATCGATAAAGACCATGTGGAGGTCTTTTCCCTTCGCCCTGAACTTCTCAATCAGTTGCCTCAGTAGGAAAATAGCCTTTGTTGTTGACTTCCATGGCATAAAACCAAATTGGTTTCCTTGGTTGGTTGATTTTGAGAAAAATCATCCCATTATTTTCTATTACATTTTACTTATAGCAAGTCCATCTTTTCAATAGTTGTTGATAACGGATTCAAGTGTTTAATAGTTAGTTGTATTCTATCCAGCTAGTATACGTGATGCATGTGCTCAATACATTATCATTTCAAATGCGTGAAGTCGCAAAATTGTAGTAATTTGAATGATATGTTTATGGAAAAACTTTATACAAGGTCAACCTTATACTGGAAAAGTAAGACGCACCTCAAAAACCCGTTGAGAAAGGTTGTCCCGATTCTGGAAAACCTTCAACTGATCATTTCGACCTCTAGATGTATGGATAGGAACACAAAGAGGATGTCAAGTCCTATTAATAGTGCATCTTGTAACACATTATTTGGGTTCTATTTTGAAGATTTTCAAGTGTTTATAGCAAGGTTTGAGAAAACGTTGATTTGGATCGGATTTGCTCAGTGCAGATCGGCTTTCACGCTACCCGTTCTGGATCTTCGTATATATTGAGATTCACCTTGATTCCTTGTTTCCTGCATGGCTGAATGTCTACTTTTAAAATTGTTAAAGGGAAAGGCGGCAGCCCAATGTTTCCCCATGAAAAGTGGGGACACACTGGCCACTCCCCATCTTTTATTGTCAGCACCCGTATTCCTCCTGTACTAGGAGGTACCACCATGACACGTCTCATTTATCTGCTAGCCCAATCTCACACCAACGAGTTACCGAGTAAGATTTATAACAATATTGCTTGCTTCAAATTTTTGATATGGGATAATCGTCCCTCCTCCTCTCTATAACTTATTTGTTTTGGGTTGTATTTTGGGGCTAATACACTTCGGTAAAGTCACAAGTTTATGGGATATTATTTGTTTTCGGTTTTATTTTGGGGCTAATAAGCTTCAGGTTAATAGCACAAGTTCATGGGATATTTGAAAGAATAAAATAACAATCGCTCATTGAGCACCTTTAGTTGATACGCCTACTTTAGAATCTGTTTTCAAGTTGGTCTTTCTCTTATTCTTCATTGCAAGCATAAGTTTATATATTTATTTTTTTAATTTCATTAAAACATGATTATAAATTCGTGCTTCTAAATTCTATATTTTTGTCAATACTGATTATTACACATTAGATCTATTTATAGCAACATACTCTTTTTGCTTGCGATATCTCATATAGTGGGCATTTTAAAGAGACATTTGAAGGAGAGAGCAAAGAAGGATGTGTTTGAAATGCCTGGTAATGACATGCTTCTTTCTCTTTTGCCCCTATCGATAACAAAGTATCTATAGGGGCAATGCCTTCTTCCTATGGTGTTAAGGTTAAAGACTCATGAGTAATTGGCAAAAACACGATTGAAATGTGAACAACATGCATTTAAACAAGAAACCGTTTTTTAATATTCACTTATTTTTGTAAGATAATAAAAATTCATAATGCATTCCCCTTTTTCTTTTGAAAACTTGAATAATATTATTTATAATGATTTTTTGAAATTTTTTAGGACCAAATCCTACTGATCCGGCTGATTCTTTGATCAGGATCGCTGATCCACCGATCTGACCAGGTTTTTCGGATAGACGATTCGAGACGCCAATCCGTTTTTTCAAACCTTGGTTTATAGATCTGCTTGATTTGTAAAAGATTTGGGGTTAAGTTTTCATAATTAGGGGTAGAAATAGGTTTTCAGGCCATCGTAGGGGTTCTTGGCACCGGAATTGCATCTTCTAGCAGGTTGGTGGTATGTGTTACTTCGATTGCTTGAGGTTGACCCCTTATATAAACCACACTGCTTTTGTGGTGGGAAGATGGTCACTCAAGGTTATTTTTTTGCCACTTTGTAATGTTTTATGCAGTTGTCAATGTTGAAGTGTCCACATTATGTTTCGAAGAGGAGCTGAACATTGGGGATTTTGATGTTTTGAAGTAATAATGCATTTCAGTTAGACTTAGTTTGAATAAATGTTTCGTTGTGATCAATGTAGTTCTTGTAAAGATTGTGGACATGTTAGTGGACTCATAGCAAATTGTAAAAGAGGAGCTTAAACATGTTTACCATTATACAACCAGACTATGCCCATTTAAATCTTGGAGAGGGGTTGTCTAGTAAGGTAGTTATTGAAGTTTGCTTTAATACTTTAAATCTTTAAAGGATACCAGGAATAGAAATTGAAACTCACGTTTTCATCCCTATTTATAACTAATCCCATTTAAATAAGAAAGCTACCTTTCTCCCCAAATCCCACAAACTAGTAAGTGACACTTGCAGCGAATTGTTTAATCTCCCTTTTGTTATTTTTAATATTAAAATGTAATGCAGTCTTTCAAAAAGCGCTAGGCGGGTCCTAGGCAGCCTGGGAGGGGGTCCAGGCCACCCAACGCCTTGGGAGATGCCCAGAACCTGGGCCGCTCGGTAGAGAGAAAGATGTCTCTATAGTTCTAAGGACTCAAAATCTTCTAAAAAACCCTCTAATAGATTTATAAAACATCCAAAATTAAATCTAATATTAATGGGTGATGGTTTGATCAATTTCTCGTAACTTTGAGAAACCCTTCGATCCTATGGAAATCACCAGATACTAGTTTTTTTGGGTTTTTCTCTCTCTAAAATAGGCTCTAATGAGTTTTAGGATTCGAATGAACCTAAAACCCACAATTTTACCCCTTTAATATTAAAAAAATGACAAAAAATGCCCTCAGCAAGTGGCTTTTTCACCTCTGGGTGGGGCGCAGGCCCTGGGCGTGCACCTAGGGCTGTGCGCCCGCTTAGGCGGGGGCCTAGGAATTTCTGCCTTTTTTTATCGCCTAGGCCTACACGATGCACCCAGGCCTTTTGGATTGCTTGGGCGGCTGCCCAGGCGTTGGGCGATCCGCTTTTTAAATCACTGATGTAATGTGAATCAAATTTACAGAATCCAGGCATATGCTTGCAATACCTTGTATCAAATTTTGCATTTTTTTATGCTTTTCAAATCTCAAGGATTAAGGGAGGCAACTTTTATGAAAATATGTTGTTTCTTATTCATTACTGTTCACTAATGTTTGTCCACAGGAGGATCCAGTACTCATTACACCTGAAGAGAAAAATCAGAAGCCTTACGTCGCGATAATTAAGGTGTGTGCACTTTATGCAATTTTGGATGCGCCAAGTTCTTGCCTTCTTTTTTTTTTTCTTAACTTTCCCTTTACTAAAGCTTGTCCAATGTGCTTAATTGAGATTTTCTAGATTTTGGAATATTGAAAACTAACTAGCAGGAATGCATTTGCGTGCAACTATTTAGGTAATTACAATATCACTTCTTTTCCGCTAGTAGTGCTGGTTTTGTTTACTTCTGCAATTACTTGGAATATGAAAATCTTGAAACATAAAACGAGAGTTTGAATCAACTAAGATGGCTGGAGGTTGCAACTATCAAGACATACGCATGTGCTAAATTTGGGTGTATAGCTAATGTAAATTAAGACTTGAATTGGCAATAAACTACGGGTTTGCATTTGGCTAGTTGCAAGAAAATGGTTTTAATGAAGGTGTTATTATTTAGGATAGTCCCAGTTACATGGTGATTCAATGTTTTCTATACTTAAATGCTTTGTTTCTTATGCCCCCATCATGTCATTGATATATGTTGTTTGAAGAATGCATCTTAATAGCTCCCACATATTCTCATTGTTAGACCTTTTCTCTGCTCTAATTTTCCATGTTCATACTGAATGTTTTTCTCTGCAATATGTTGGTTAATATTGTTTCCTTAACAGTGTTTATTTGTGGAATAATATGTTCACTTCATTCAAACAATTCTGGTTTACCTTGCCCCCTCAGTTCGATTCATATTTTGTTGAGGATGTAAATGAATTAGAATTTTTTGTTCGCTCTTTTCTTTTGTATATAAAAAAAAATTGGTGCAAATATGTGAACTTTTGCAGTCATTTTATTTCTCACCATTGTGCAAGAAGGAAAGAGATAGTGAGGATTATGGGGTTTCTAGATACAATGTATGGATTCTAGATATGTATGCCACTTAATAACAACTAATATTATGCTGTGCGTTGCACATGATATAACTGACTTAAAAAAAATTTATTTATTTTATTTACAGATATTATTAATCAGTAGAGAAATGTATAAAAATTTGTTTGCTATCAAATAGAACATGGAAAGCCAAACACAATAGTATAATAATACTCACTCTCTTATTTTTAGTTAGACAAAAAGAGTTAGAGAGAGAAAGATGAACATGACGATAAATAAATCACATATATGTAAAGAAAAAAATGCAAAACATAGAGAGAAAGATGAACGTGGTAGTGAAGAAAACACATATAAAAATAAAAAAGTAAAAAGGAGGATAAATATAAGAAAAGGAAAGAGAGAGAAAGCGAGATGAACATGACAAAAAACAAATCACATAGATGTTCATAATAAAAAGCAAATAAGAGAATTGATAAAAAAAAGGAATAAATTAGCTGGTTATATTATTGTTGTACTTTAACCCTTGAAAGACAGAGAAAGCACGTGGAGAGAAAGAGAGAGATGAATATGGTAGTTGAGAAAGAATATCTAATAAAAAGTAAAAAGGGGTATACATAAAGAAAAGAAAATAGATTTATGGTGCCTGGTACTTTGAACCCTTGAGAGGACTATTTAGAGAGATGTGCTATCTAGGAAATTGATGTAGAGTACCTATTTATAGCCCCATTTTCCCCCATTCCAAATTGGATCATGCTGGATAGGTGCTCCAAATAGGATGGGTAAAATTGTCGCATCCCTATCACTGTGAACAATTGGGATGAAAGTTGCAAATAGCATAGCATGCTTTGAAATGGGGAAGGAAAATTCTTCACATGCGTACACAATGGGAAAATATTTAAGAGATGAGTGAACCACATAGGATCACGTACCCTAACATCTTTAAAAATTGGGATGAGATCATTTATGAAATAAATACACGACTTTCCTAATAATAAGAGGTAAGATAAAGTTATATGAATTTATCTTATGGATATACTTCAATTGGATTTCAAAAGTTTAAATTTACATTTTTTTTTAGGAAAAAGATAACTAAACATGGTGGATCCTTTTGTGTGTGTGTGTGTGTGTGAGAGAGAGATTAATTAATTTGAGGAAGATGTGTGTTCCAAAATAAGAAAATAGTTTTTCTTCTAGGGAAATAATATAGGAATATCATTAAATAGAAAGAAAATGGATGAGAGAGACATAATCGTGGATCCTGATGAGAGAGATAATTGTGGATCCTAGAGAGAGCTTTTTTTTATTAAAAAAAGAATATGAGAAGACTATTAATTACCATCATTAATTAGATAAAGTAGAAAAATGGGAGAAACATAGAGCAATAGGTCAAAATTGGTTGAAAGTAAAATCAATAGGATAAAATTGGAACTAAGAGGGACACTTGTCCCGAAATGAAACATAGTGTCGTTCTTGCTTAGTGTATAATAAATATTCACTTTTACTGTGTTAGGTGGAAGTAGACTAATGTGGGCCGGCCATGTGCAACGTCGGCCTAGAACAACACTAGTTAGGAGGGGTGATATGGTTCAAGTTCTAAAAGGATAAGAGGAAAAAGGATATAGATGGATGGACGTAGTGAGAAGAGATATGTTGACTTGTTGTCTGATTGAGGGTATGACCTTTGATGGAATAGAATGGCGGAAAGGGATTCGTGTAGCCAACCCCTAATGGTTGGGATAAGGCTCAGATGATGATGATGACTATGTTAGGTGGAACTTGTTTTACCTTAGTCCTTAGAAGTAGGAATCCGCTGCATATGGTGATACTCCCTACTGTCAAAACACAGCCCATTCATCAAGTGCAAATTTACCAAGAGAATACATGCGATTGTTTGGGTTGAAGCTCTATAAAGTATTACCTTGCATCTTTACACTTCAATGCTCTCTTTATTATGAGAATTTATGTAGAATTTCAAATTGTTTTGAATCTCATTTTTCATGAAAAACAAAATATATAGATTAGTATTTTGTCATAAAAATGTTGTATGGGTCTTATTACACTTACACATGTTTTAACAAGCATGCAAACAATTGATTAGGGCTTGCATTTCTATTACTAGTTTCTATATCTTATATTTAATAAATGAACCTGTAGCTGTTTATTTTTGTAATTCTAGGAACCTATGACAAGGGGGGCCTGCCATCTCAATCCTTTTTTCCTTGCCATTTGTTGATGTCTCTTTTCCAGCTTATATAAATGACCACCGAAGTTGAAATATGTCTTGAGGTTTTGTTACCAATATTCTTTAGAATAGGCAAGTTGACTTTGAACCCCTTGTTTTGATGGTGCTTTATGAGATCATTTATCTATTAATAGTTCCAAAGTGAAATACGATAAAATGCTTGATTGTTTTCTATCCCGTTGTATTGGATCGTGTAAGGCCGAGTGCTATCAAATGCGGGACGCAAACTCGATGTGACCAAACGCGATCATTGGTCGTCTAATGCGCTATGCAGTCCCGATGTGGGAACATCACGTCCTAAATTTTTAAAAGTTAAAAAATCCTAAAAAACATAAGAATGAATAGGTTGTAGTTGCCAAAAAAAGTAAAATATAAAAATGAATAGGAAAACATAAATGTTTGATTTATGTGGTAATAGGAATTTTAATTTAGTAAGTGTCTAATATATTAGCTATCTAAGTCGCTTGATAGCCTGATAAAAAGTAACAAAGTTTGTTATCTCTATTTTCTAATAATGTTATATAATCAACTTGCAAAATAAAGTAATCCATTCCATCCATACATTAAATTCTATGAATAAAACCCAAATGCCAAATAGTCATGACATGACATCCAAAGATCAAAAGTTCTTCACAATCACAAACACATATTACATGACATCCAAAGTCTAAACTCCTCAAAGAACAAAAGTTTATGACATACAAAGTAAAAAATTTAATCAATATCCTCTATGTCTTGACTCTCAATCAAATAAGTCATATGATGATCCATCACATACCCAACCTCAAATAGTTGGGATAATGCTCAGATGATAATGATGATGATGATGATCCATCACGTGGATCTCCTAGTCCCACGCCTGAAGCTGAGGCTTTAGAGCCTTCATCATTAGTCTCGTCACCCACATCACATATACTTAATATTCCTTAGTTTCCTTTGAGTCATCTTCCTCTCTAACTGAGGTGGACCCAACTCTCCTTTGTGATTTCGTACTAGGCCTTAGTTCTTCTCTAATCCTCATAGCTTACTTGACATCCAATGAAATGAGGTCCTCACCCTCGAACGTACTCTCTTATTGTAAATTTACTGCCAGCTCATGTGCCCTCGGGTTCATCCACAGTATAGGTACCTCCCATTAAAGCTCTCAGCCACGCATTTTATTCGATATAGACAAGGCCATTCAACTTTTTCTACTAGAACATGTTCCTATTTTTGCTATGGAGTTCGCTGAACTCCTATCCACAATCTCAAGTAGAGGCTTGTATTTGATTTCATCATTCTTCAAAACCATTTCGATCTCCTCTTTTGCCCTGATCATCTCCTCATATATGTAGCTTATGATGGGTTTTACATCATCATCAACCAATTGAAGCACTTTCACCAAAAGGCAAGAAACATCCAATGCATAGTAGACTTGGGCCAAAAATATGTATCAAGCACAATTTGCTTTGATTTTCTTCGATCTTAATGCCTTGACCACTTACTTCCTATCCACTTTTCTACGGTGAAATTGCTTCTTAGGGTGTACTTGCATTGGTTTTGATTGTTGAGAAATGTCGTTGCAAATCTAGTGGTCTGTACTCTCACTATCTCTCTCTTCTTTGTTAACTCCCTCATCATGCTTGGACTAGAGTAAGACTATCGATTAAACCGATGGCAAACTTAGCTTTTATAATTGTGCCTTTAGCTATGGGTGTCTTAACGTGTCCTCAACCATGGGATCAAGGCAATGAGAAGTCAATAGATATCTTGCTGCAGAATAAGTGGCACCATTGTCAGTAACAATTTGTACCACATGCTCTTCCCTAACAAACTCTAACAATCTCGTCCATCAACCCACACATGTTAGTTGTATCATGTCACTAATTTGATGCATCACTGGATTAAAAATAAATAAAAGAATGCCTCTAAGGGAAAATTTACCATAAAATTAATATGCATGACTATCAGACCATCCATCACACATGATGGCCACCCCATTCTTCTCCCACCCTTCTCTTTGAGAACTCGATTTTTTTTTTTGAAGAAATTGAGGACTCAGAATTTTGTCACGCCTTTCACTACATCCTTCAAACTCATGAAATGAAGGGGGTTTGAGCTCAGGGTTAAACTGCCTCATTGCCTCCTATAACATTGAAGCTATTGAGACGCAATATTTAAAGGAATATAGTTGCAAACCTTATGTCTGTCTCATTTATGGTATCTATTTTCAAGTATGGTTTGTTTTGTTTTTCTCCTCCTCCTATCCTCTACCCCAACCTCGGGTTAGGGGGTGCAAAATGTATCCATTGGCTCCTTGGGAAGAGGTTTTTCCCCAACATACTAGCTATATTTATAACCCTTTCCCTTAGGACCGTATGTGCACTACAAATTCATATACACCTTCATTTTCTTCATCATCAAATGTTTGAATTTCATCCAACTATTTTCTTTGTTTCATTGCTTTCTTTTCTTTTCTTTTTGTTTTTCCTTTTAATCTATCCAGGTATGCCCCGACCTCTCTTCAAATCTCATTGGTTGCTTGAGGGCATAGGCTCTAACATTGCCTGTAATGCCGACACGATGTTCCTTTTGTGATGCAAGACAAGATGCCTCTTATTTTTGAATTTTTTTATTAGATTTTAAGGATGTTTTTTTGGAATTTTATAAAGTTATTTTTTAGGGTTTTTAAGTTTTTTTTAGGGATTCTAGGATTTTTTATATTTTTTAGGATTTTAAGAGATGTTTTAGAGTACTTGTGGAATTACTTGTTTTATTAGGGGTAAATTTGTCATTATAAATTTTGTGTTTAAGTTAGAACTTTTTGGGTCATTTTAATTATTGTATGGACATTTTGGGTCATTCCATGTGACTTTGTTTTTTAGAAAAGAAAGAATGAAAGCTCCAGGATTTTGAACCCTAGCTTGTGTGGTGAGGAAACCTTGGGGTTTCTCCAAATTTTGCATGTGTTTGGCTGAGAAATCATGTTCTTTTGCTGTTCTCCAAATTTCTCTTGCATCATTTTGTCAGTAAATACCCCCTCTACAAGTTTTCTAACCTAGAGTATAAAAACCAGTATTTTCAAATATTTCAATGTTGGAGCTATGTTACTTGAAGAAGACAAAGACATTGTTCAGAAATAAACTATTAGAAATGGAAAGTACCAACAAAAAAGTTGATCCCAACTCCCAATTTCCGAAATTTCGATACCAAATGCATAGTTGAAAGGAATTTATCTTTCTAGATTTCCCTTGAAGTCCCCAATTACTTGGTGAATCGCCCAAAAACCTTAAAGACAATCTCAAATCGCCCAAAGATCCCCAAACTTTTCCAAGAACTTTGCTCTCATGGAAAATATTTTTACTTCAATTTGGTTTTAATCCTTTAGACGTGTAAAAATTGTTTCTCCCTTTTATGGGCATAAAATTACAAAAAAGGCCCCCTCTCGTGGGTATTTTCCTCCCATGAGCAATGGGCCACATATATGGGTACATTGCACCCTATGCGATGTGCTTGCATATGTGGTTGATGCACTTCATGTGGGGCACATCACCAAATCCCACATATGCGGGCTGATGAGATGCATCTCAAGGCGTATAACACATGATGTGGCTCTATATTGTGTTATGCAACTGCTAGTTTTATTTCCATCTTAATCTTTTGGGCTGGTTGCAGGAATGCGTGGATGATTTCTTGCAGGAGATTACTACCATTTGTCTTTTGGTTGTGAAATTATGCTCTAGCTTGACCAAAGTTAAAATTTTACGTCATGATAGAATTATGACTACTTTCTCTCTCTCAGTTGCTCAGGCCCAGCTGTAGACATGGAAACATCTTTCCTAGAAGTTCCTTCTTGAATCATGTATAGTAGGCCCTTCTAACTATTTTAATACTATAGGGTGTGGTCATACCAGCACTTATGCACCGGATGCCATCTGAACTTTGAAGTTAAGCATGCTTGGGCAAGAGTAGTATTAGGATGGGTGACCTCCTGGGAAGTCCTTTGTCGCAACCCTTTTTATTCTTAAAAAAAAAAAACAATTTTAATACTATATATATATATATATTTTTTCATTACTATCAAAAACACCTTTTTGTATGAGAGGAACATCTTGATCTACATTTAGCTCAGATGACTTTAAGGATCTGTTCTTAAATTTACCATTTTAAATTTGCTTTTCCAATGTTATTCACTTATTAAGACTCGTTGCAAGTTATGACAGGCAAAGTATACTGTAATTAGATGGACTAGGAAACCATGTCCCATTGTCCAATGAAATGATGTTTGGTGCTGAAAAGAGTGTCCCACCACCAGTCATCATTTCATTAGATGGTGATGATCCCAACTGGCTATGGTTCTCTTCAGTTCATTGGACTGTAATGTACTTCCCTTTTCTTCTCCTCACCATGCTTTCTAGTTACAATTTCCTTGTATTTACAGGATATAACCCAATCTAGAGATGGTTCCATGGCTATAAGTGGGCAATGGTTTTATCGACCTGAGGAAGCAGAAAAGAAAGGTGGAGGGAGCTGGCAAGCACGAGACACGAGGGAACTGTTTTATAGTTTTCATCAAGATGAGGTGCCTGCTGAATCTGTGATGCACAAATGTGTGGTCCATTTTGTTCCTCTGAACAAAAAACTTCCACTTCGTTCAGAGCATCCTGGTTTTATAGTCCAAAAAGTTTATGACACCGTCGAAAGGAAACTCTGGAAATTAACAGATAAGGATTATGAGGATGACAAGCAACACCAAATTGATCTTCTGGTTCAGAAAACTCGAGAGGCTTTAGGTGAACTTCCAGATTTGGAGATTGAGGAGGCTCCGGTCGAACAAGAAGAACAGCAGAAAAAGAGGCAACTGAGGAAGAGACACTTGACTTCTATCAATACAACGAGGGAAGATGGGTCTGAACCATTCAACAAAGCAGAGACACCAGGGACTGCACATGGGATCTCTGAGTTTTACTCAATCTTGATGGATTTTACAGCTTTAACAGGAGATACTCACAGGGATAAGGCGCTTGAAAAGCTACTTCAAGGAATTCAGTATGTCTTTGATTCAAATGGTGTCGCTCCTTCTCAAGAAGCTGTGCAGGAGGATAGTGCAGGGAAGAAAGAGCCGGTTGAGGCCATGGATATTGATAACCAGGAAAAGGGCAGAGAAGCATTGGATGAATCACAAAAGAAGAATCAGAAAGTATGGTTGTTATCTTCTTTTTTATCCCTTCTGTCCTCCAGTTATTCAACTCTCTTGGAACTTGGGTTGTTGGTTTGGAGTTCAATAATAGAAAGGGAAGGTTGTCATAATCCACTGGACTGCTGTTTGCAATATTCAAAGGACTGTTAATGGGCTTGCTCAGGCCCGAGCCCAGTCCGAAAACCATGTAGGTTAGGCTAGTGTGCAGCTGGGATGCAACCGTAAATTAAGTTTCCAGCCCGGCTTGAGCCCTGGCGTATCATCATAACGAGGTCCAAACCTGAAAAATCGGGCCTGTCCCGGCTGTGTGGGGCCTTACATAAATATAGGAAATTTTTTGTGAAAAAGATGCACCAAAAATTTCTGGCCCTGCCCAAAAATGCTTTGGGCCCTCCAAGCCCAACCCTTGACAAGCCCATGAGCCTTAACAAGTGGCCCAAACTGGACCGAACCTGGGCCCAGCCCTCTTAACAGCCCTAAGTCAAAGGCAACGTCCTCTGTTTGTTCCCACTAACCAATGATAAAGGTTCACGTGAGTAGAATCAATCTCCTACCATCTATCAGTGGGAATGGCTGGTGGATGAACCCTAGGAATATCTCAGCACCATAACTAATGGTCTGTTGGTTTTTGGGACATACTTAAACCATTTTTCTTCTGCATAGAACACTGTGGGCCTCTTTTTTGTTTTCTTTTTGTGCTTTGTTTATTCATGCGTATTGTTCATGGTTAGTCATATTCTTGAAACATGATATTGAAGTTTGAATCAATATGCTGGTTCTTTTAAATTCTTTGCATTTTTCATATTTTTTTCTTTTCGTTGTTATCTATAACTGTGTCGTATGAAAAAAGGAGAAATAGAAAGTGGGTCTGCTATGTTTGTATTTCCAATGTTGCTAACAGACATATTATTCCAGGGAGATGCAAGCATGCGTTGGCCAGACACTGCTGTTAATGCTGTAACTGCTCTTGAGAAGGCTTCATATGAGGCTCTTGGCATGGACCCTATGAAGTATAACCAAAAAGTGCGGCAACTGAGTTTCAATCTCAAGGTAAAAGAATATTGTTTTGAGTTCAAAGGCTTCCTATCATATATTAAGTTGCATGTGTTAATATAACAGGTAATCTATTCATTCTGTTGTGGACATTTGTGGACCATATGAAAAGATTGTTGCATTGATAAGATTATCTTTCTTTGTTGCATTGATAAGATTATCTTTCAGATTGTATTACAACTCTGTCCTCTTGTCCAAAAATATCAATGATATCTCGATGTGAACATCCTTTGGCACACCCGTTGTGATCATTGATAAATATTATATTTGTTATTATCTGCTGATGGCATCTAGCTTCGCCAACTTGTGGAGAACAATCGAAAATACTCTGCATCCTGGTGTGAGGGCTTTTCAACCGACAGTAGCAATTAACCACATTTTAGGTTATTTAATGTTTTTATTGTCATGGTAACTTGTTTGAATGTTGTTGTATTTAGATATTGGTGTATCCTTTACTTAAAGATGATTACATTTACCTCCAAACTTCTATGGTATCAGAGCATGATGGGATCCTTTCTAAAAGATCGGCCAAAAATCAAGTTTTTCCAGAATAAACCCTTAGGGTCCCTCTCTCCCTCCCTCGTCCGTCCGTGCACACATATGCATATTCTCATTCACACTAATGAAAAGTCTTAAAGAGATGTTATCAGTCATTGTGACACATAGAGTTTAGAGTTCAGATTGCTGCTTGTCCAAGTGTCTAATATTAGACCTGAATGGAATTGATTGCCTCATGCTGAAGGTGTACTAGTTTCCTGCATTGGCAAGCGAGACCAGTTGATTTTAACTTTCCTTTCCAGAGCTAGATCATTTACAGAAATGTCTCTTATGGACATTCATTAAACAAAATTTGATATTAGCTTGATCGTTTACGAAATTTGATCATTTACAGAAATGTCTCTTATGTCTCTTTGGCGGACCAGCTAGCTAAGGAAGGAGCCATTGCACAAGTCACGGTGACCTAGTAGTTCTCAGGACTCAAGCTTGCAAGAACGGGACTCTCTTTTTTTACATTAGGGTTCTTTGAATGTTCACCATCTTTAAGAGTCACATCTTTCTAGAACCCCTGTTTTTGCTTTTTCGTACATCGTTGTGTAGGGCATTGTTATAAGACACAATTTTTGTATAGGACCTCTTGTTTGAGGATACCACATTTTTTGCCGAGAGGCCCAGTCTGTGGGCACTCTCCCTGGAACACTGTATTTCGTTTCTTTAATACAAAGTTAACATTATCAAAAAAAAAAAAACTTTTGGTTGACCATATTTCTTCTAAATGATGAATTAATATGTTGTAATGATTGTGCTCCAAAGTATCGACTTCCTGCTTTCTGATAGCTTGTCTGGTTTTGGTTATTGTCTGGTATATTCCTGCAGAATAATCCTATATTGGCAAAACGGTTGTTAAATAAGGACTTGGAGGCATCAGTTATTTTGAATATGACACCTGTTGAATTGAAGGTGAGGAAATCTACTTCTCCCATCTCCTTCAAATGTCATCACTTTTCAATACATGTTCTCTCATAACTTGTCATGTGAATCCATGGATGCCCAAATTAGATGGAAAACTGTGGTGGATATGAACTAGGATTTTTTAGCTCCTTGGCTCACCTTGCGAAAAAGGAATGAAGTGTCCTTCTAACTAGAAAGAAATAATCTCAATATAACCACCTAAAAACCAAAGAAAAAGAAGTAATCCAGTCATTTCTGTGTCCCTGTATCTGTAAGGTGCCATCTTGACAGCTCTTGTTGCAGTTGTCTAATCTGATTTTTGTTTGATGAAACTACCATCTTTCTAAGACAAAAAAAAGGAAATGAGCACAATATTCATTTTATTACATTTTCTGAGCATTTCAGGATGGACTAACTGCAGAGGAGAAAAACCCCCAAGAGCCTCAGGATGTAAAGCACATGCAGGTTAAATTTATGATTTTACGCTTTTCTATATTTAAAAGGGAAAATACAACATTCTGATGGACTATGAAAGCTGTAGATCATTGGAGCCTTCCTGATCATGTGAAATGGACAATGGAATCAGGGTAGGATCCAAAATTGAGGCCATGCCCTATTCTAGTGGGTCTCCGTTACCATTCATCCCTTCTCACCGGATGATTATGAGCCCAATGGAGTATGACTTTCTATAACATATAATCCCTTAGACCTATATACTTATAATTTTACCTTCTAGAATATCTGCTATAGCATATAGTCCATTAGACCTTTATACTTCCAATTTTACCTTCTAGAATATCTGCAATTGCTGCCTAGTATCCATGGTGAAAAATGTTACGATGCAGATGACTGATGCTCGCTGTTCAAGATGCACAGAGAAGAGAGTGGGCTTGTTAGAAATCATCCATGGAGGATATGGAGACCGCTACCAGGTCTGTCTCTGCCTTGTTTTCATGAATTGTACTTCAATGCTCACAAAAGTAAATAAATTGGAGTTCAATTCCTGTTATTATTTCATCCTTAACTCTCTTTGGGGAAGTATACCATGCACTTAGTACATGGTGTGGGGTACATCAAAGGGGAATCCACCATTTATAATATGTCATGTTTGGGTTGCTTCCTACTTCTCTTGCGATCCTCGTGTCATTGGATGGTGATGGCCCCAAGCAGACCATGTGCGTTTGGATCATGGTATGCATTTTTATCTTTGGTAGAGCAATCATAGTACACTTTCCCTTTCAGTATTTTTCTCTCTTTTTTGACTCCTTCGAGGTTTAAGGTTTTCTTTTCTTTTACTACCTTTCTTTTTGGAATCCTCTACAGTTTAGGGCAAGGTTCAATTACTTGGCTCGGACTCGAGACTCATTTACTGCTCAAGCTGAGTAACTTGAGCGAGTTCAAGTGAATTCACTGGAGTACTGTATCAACCCAAAAAATGGCTCAAAAAAGAAGAAGTAATTATTAATTTTTCTTAAAAAATTAAAAATCAATAAAACAATAAACGATATTAAAAGTCTGAAAAAGATGAAAATATATATAAAATATGGAATTTGGAAAAAACTGATTTATAGATGGTAACAATTCAAAAAACTCCAGAAAGAGGAAAATAGAAAAATATAGCATATGATAAGAACAACTCAAATCATCATAAAAAACATCAAAAGTGTATATGATATATTAATACTTTGATTTAGTAAAATAGTATAGTTTTTATTTTATTTTTATATTATCGATTTTTGCTCCTAAGAACTCTTGCTTGGCAAGATGTGGAGTCCAAGCACCTCAGCCAAGTTCCATGCAACTCAGCCAAATTTTAAAACCTTGGTTTAGGGCCATGTTCATAGACTTGTCACCTTTGTGTAAAAATTTTAGATAATAATTAAATGTTTAAAAATAGTTATATAATAACAATATGCTGGCTGCTATTTCAAACATGCTGGCCATTATTATTTTCATCACGTATATCTCAGGAGCATACTGTGCACTTACTTCGTCCAGCAAAAGAGATAATTTGATGATTTTTTTAAGGGAAAAGTTTATGTAGAACTGAGGCTCTAAACAATCAAATTTGAGCCTACCCCAAAAATTTCACTAGAAGAGGTTGTTTTGATGCCCAAATATCTTCAAATCGACCATCTCGACATCAAGATGCATGGACATGAGAAAAAAATGGATTTCAAGTTTTGGAAATAATTTTTTGACCGTCAAATTTTAAGATTTTTGAGTTTTCATAGATCTGTCAATCTACACTATTTTTGAAGCTTTAAACTTTATAAATAAATATAAAAATATATTTTAAGGCTCTCACAAAGATTTCCAATATTAAAACCACATTTCTCGACACAATTTGAAGGTAGGCTTTAATTTGATTGTTTATAGCCTAGGCTCTATATAAACCTCACCCTTTTTTTAATCTGAAACTTTGAGATACACCTTAAAATCACAAGATGAACATTTTTAAAAATGAAAACCTTTATATAAGGTTGCAACCTTATAATGTAGAATTGAGGTGCACCCATAGATCCATCAGAGTAGGCTGTTTTGTTGTTGAAAAACCCTCTGATTGATCTTCTCAACATTGAGAAGTATGAATATGAAAAGAAAAAAAATTGAGTCCCAAAAATTGTGCATTTTTCAATACATTATCTGGACCGTCCATTTTTAAGATTTTAATGTGTTTATAAATCCTCCACTTGAGTTGAACTATTTTTTTAGTTTAAAATTTTATAATTAGAATATTAAACCAAGTGAATTAGAATATTATTTATAATTGGACGATCTCTGTTTAATTTTAGGAAGTTGTTTTTCCAGGCAAATACCAAGCAAATTTGATTTTTTTATTAATACCTTTTTTGAGTTTAGATGTTAGGTTGAAGTGGTTGTGCCTTAAATTGCTTCTAGCTCATAGGAAATACTGTAGCAAGAGTATAGAATTTTTACACTTTTTTTTTTTTGAGTAAAGTTAACTTTTGTATTGTTTTAGAGTGTTAGAGTACAGAAGACGGATCCGAGAGTACCCACAAGTCGGGTCTTTCAGTCAAAAATAGGCCAAGAGACCCTATATTTTGTTATTAGTAAATTATTCAATGACTTAAAACAAATCACGCCATGGGCATTTTTTTGTGATAACAGACGTACCGGCCTCTAATGGATGTGACCCAATTTCATGAACTTTTTTTATTATTTGTTGTGGCAGTCTCACACGTACATGATGACCATTAGATTTAAACACTCCATTAAATACTATCGTGGGTTTTTTCGGGCATCTGCTCGTTACCATCATTTAACATTACTGGGCTGTGGAGCAGCTGATGTAACAGTTATGATCAGTGTGTTTTGGTCCTTGGTTTAGGGTTTAAGATTACACATGATCAAAAACCTTTCTTCTACTGTTGCAGTTGGAGTGCCAAGGATGTGGACACTCATGGTATTCGTCTCGAGACTCTATCTCTGCGTTGACGATAGAGCAGCCGAACCAGCCCGCCTCAGTGGGCACTGCCCCTTTGGCCACGACCAAGTTTGAAGATGTCGAGAGGAAGCTGATGAGCCCTCGTGGTGGGTCCGAAAAATAAACTGGAGCTTTGAAGCAGGCCATGGAACCAAACCCTTCTTCTAGGCCTGAAGCTTCTCAATTTCCACAATCTAACCCAATGTAGCTTGAAGATATATGTAAATATGGTTGTCTTATATTTTTTCTTTGGTTTTGCAGTAGCTTATTTTTTGTTTTAGCTGGGTGGTTGTAGCTTGCTTTCTACTTTGGCTGGACTAGTAAGTTGCTTTCAGTTAGATATGAGCTTCTTGATGATTTGAATCACAGATGCTATTGTACTTACTGGACATTCTCCATAACTCTCTCTCTCTCTTGAATCCCTAAAAACATAGATAAATATTCCATTTTTAGAATGAATTTTAAAGGGGGGACGCATGTATACATATAAGGCGGCTGACTTATAGAAACCCCATCTATACTTACTGGGGTGCGGTTTGTATAGAGCTGAGGCTCTAAACGATCAAATTGGAGCCCACTTTCAAATAGTAATTAGGAATGTGTTTTCAATATTAGAAATATTTGAGATAGCTTTAAAATATATATATTATTTTAATTATAAAATTTAAAGTTTAAAAAATAGTGTAGATTGAGCAATATGTGAGAACTTGAAAATCTTAAAAATTGATGATCCAAAAATGCACTACAAGATGCACATTTCCAAAACTTGAAATCCATTTTTTTTTTCACATCTATGCATCTTGATGTAGAGGTAATCGATTTGAGGATATTTAGGCATCAAAATAACCTCTACGAGTGAAATTTTGTAGGCTCTAATTTGATTGTTTAGAGCTTAGGTTTTATATAAACTTTTTCCATACATAAAAGGAATTACTTTATATGGAGTCGAGGCTCTAACACTCAAATTAGAGCCCACCTAAAAAAATTTACTAGAAAAGGTTGTTCTGATGCTCAAATTGATAATCAAGATAGACATGAGAAGAAAAAAAATGGATATCAAGTTTTGGAAATAGTGTATCTTTCCAAGTTTTCAACTTTTTCTTGTAACGTATTTTTGGACAGTCAATTTTGAAGTTTTCATAGATATGTTTGATCTGTACTATTTTTTAAGTTTTAAATTTTATAATTAAAAATGAAAATATATTTTACGGCTATCACAAATATTTTCGGTATTAAAACCACATTTCTCAATATTATTTGAAGGTGGGCTTTACTTTGATTGTTTAGAGCTTCAGCTATATACAAACATACTTAAAAAAGTGTAGTTTGAATAGAGCTTAGGCTCTAAACAATCAAATTAGAGCCTACTTTCAAATAGAGTCGATAAATGTAGTTTCAATATTGGAAATCTTAGTGATAGCTTCAAAATATATTTTCATATTTATTGATAAAGTTTAAAGCTTAAAAAGTAGTATAGATTTACGAAAATTGACGGTCCAAAAATGCGTTACAAAATACGTTATTTCCAAAACTTGAAATCTATTTTTCTCTCATGTGCATACATCTTGATGTCAAGATGATCAATTTGAAGATTTTTGGGCACTAAAACATCTAGTGAAATTTTTGAGCTAGGCTCAAATTTGATTGTTTAGAGCCTCAGCTCTATATAAACTTTTCCCATACTTAAAAACTACAGCGGTATCTTAAAAAAAAAAAAAGAAAAAAAGAAAAAGAAGGCGATAGGGTTCAAAACACAAAACAAGGTCCACCTTTTTTTTCCCTTAGTTACAAATAAAAAGAATGGAAATCGATCCACCAACTCAACCAAATTCAAATGAAAATTAACAGTTGAATGAAAGTTAGGAAGATAGACGTACTGTTCAATGTGGTTCTCCTACTCATTGCTAAACTCTAGGAGTTTTATACCTCGGTCTTTAAAAGGAAAAAATGTACTTTTCGTATGAAAATGGGACTTGCCACTCACAAACCCTAGGTGGTAAAACTTAAAAATTTACTTCTCATACGAAGAATGATTTTTCTAATAAAAGAAAGAGGTCACACAAAAAAAAGTGTGTTGGTCTTTTTTTTTCACAGGGAAAAAAAAAAAAGAAAAAGAAAAATTGTTTCATGCGCCACCCCTAAAAGTTACATCCTACGTATGCCCCCATCTTCACGGAAAACTAAGGGACCCATTTGTGTGCCCTTGACGCGGACATCTCACCACTCTCCATTTGTTTCCGGAAAGTTACAAATCCTTTCCTTTCGTTTTGTAGATGAAGTTTCTTCAAGGCCTAGGATTTATGAAAATAAGAAAAACCCTCACCTCAAATTTTCACTTGGAAAGCATTTTCGACAACAAAAATATTTATGATGGCTCTAGAATCAATTTCTAATACCGACAATAAAATTTGAAACTCAAAAAATAGTATTAGATTTTATGGATCTTTGAACACTTATTTTTAGAGCGAAATTAGTAGTTTAGATATTTGTTATAACACACGCTAGCTTTAGAGCTTGAAATTCTTATTTTTTAATTTTTTTTAGAACTATAATGTCCAAGCTATAATGATCTTTATGAACGTTTTTCAATACTCGAAAGAAAATTGTTTCATGCAGCAAGGACTACATTTCTACATTTGTTGTCCCCGAGGTATAAAGCATCCATCTTAAAGATGGGATGCACAAATAGGTGGTCCATCTAAAAACAATTTAAACCAACGGTCCAAATTTTTTCATAATAGAATTATTATTTTTAATTTTCTCAATTTCATTAGGAAATCCAGGATTGGCCAGGTTAGGTGGGGTTGTGTGAGATTGGAATGGGAGGATTATCTTCTCTTATGCTGGTCTAGCTAGCAAGGGATGCCACAGCTAACAGTGCGGAATTTCTTGCTTTATTGCATGGGTTGAAGATTTTTCTTGTTAAAGATCTAGGCTCCCCTTTGATCGCTGAAGGTGATTCACTGAATGTCATTAGTTGGTGCAAGAGAGAACAAGGGTACCGTGGGCTCTTAAGTCTACTTGGCTGTAGATTCTTGATTTTTTTAATTTCTTTCCGATCTCCTTTGTTCATGTCTATCGTGATGCAAACTCTCTGGCTGATTCTTTGACAAAATTTGGTACCACTGGTTCTTCTTTGTTACTTGCCGATGATGTAATTTTACCCTTGTAACCTTCTCTTACCAATAAAATAGTTAACATTGATAATATATATATATATATATATATATATATATTATCTTTTTATATTCATGATTTTCATGTTAGAGATTACATGTTTTTAAAAATTGGGTCCAAAAATCCATCTCAAAAATAAAAAATAGATATTTAAGAGGTGGCACATTTCTACATAGACTCATAGAAACCGTGTCCATTCTTTGAATTACAATTTTCAATGAGTTATGAAGTGAGGTAGAGCTGCAGCCCTGTCAAACCAATTTTATTTTCTTTTTTCTTTTTTCTTTTTATTTAAACGTTAACGAATATTCTATCCTCCCTATCCTAGTCCTGTGAGCTCTTTGCTCTCTTCATCGTGAGCCCCTCTGTCTCTCCACCGTGACTCTTACCTCTCTCCACACTCGAGGTTTGAGCGATCCTCTCCCTCCCTCTCACATTCCAAAACGCTTTTGCTCCTTCATATTTGTGTTTCATGGTTTTCGGATGTGTACAATTGCATTGAACTATTTAAAAGGACCCAAATCCCTACTGACTCATCATTTACAAGAATGGCATGAGCCTTGGCAGTAGTATTGCCAAAGGATAGGGGCCCAAAACCCCATAGATATACCACTTTTAATCTCCACTAACTTACCCTTTTGTTAATAGCCTGAGTTAATCCCACTGACTTAATCCCCACTGACATCCGACTTTAGTCCCCTTTGACTTACCCTTTTGATAATGGCCAAGGACTTGGCACTTGTATTGCCGAGCTTTATAGGGAAATCTCTGACTCCATTTTCACCAAAAGGTAGGAGCCAAATCTCCATCGACACTTTTTTTTTTTTGAGAATGGACTGGAACCTTAACAGTAGTACCAACAAGCCCTATGATGAAATCCCTGACTCCATTCTCACCAAATGGGAGGGACCCAAATCCCCACTGACTTACGTTTTTGTAGTAATGAGGTTGGATCTTGACGGTAGCATCCCTACACCTGGTCCCCACATTGTAGTTTCCAATCCTACCACTAACACCGCCACACTAACACGTTCAAAAATCTAACTCCTAATCTACTTAAAAAAAAAAGGTACGAGCACTGAATTACCCAAAAAAAAAACCACGTGCCACTTTCGAATGGCAACTCCGAATGAGCAGCATTCAAATAACATTTTTCGGATGTGGTGGTGTTCTGATTTCCATCGGCAGCAAAAAAATTGCATTTATCTATCGGGCAGCCCTGGCAGGTGCATGGACAAATTTGTTCATAAACCGGCTCAAGAAAAGGATTCATAGTAGCTGTTCTGTTTCTAATGTAATGGTCAACAGCTGTTTAGAAATGAGCAATGCTAACTGAAGACGAGTAACATGAATGTCGTTCAATGCAATCGCAATGGCAGTTAGTACCAAATGCGCCTCCCTAACCAACAAAAAATGAAAAGGAACGACATGGTTTGCGGTTAAAATAGGGGGAGGCTAGGCGGGAAACGCACGTGCATCCATCGCCTCTCATACGCTGCCACATGGGCCCAGCCAATCTTGTCGAGCAGAGAGATCCGCAGCTCATAGAGCTTCTTCTTCGGAGGGTCAGCATCCTCCTGAATCAAATCATTCAGCACCTGCCCAAAACACCATTCCATTATTGGATATTAAGAACATGATCTTTCAATGTAAAACTTTCAGTAATTATACACGATGATGTTTGCTAATTCATGAAATGTTCTGACAAAAAGAATGGCTAGAGTTTTAATTTTTATACTGGGGCTCACCTTCAATGCCGTACCGGGTCGCCCACAGCGCCTCTCTTGAGTAACCAAAAGTAACGCATATTTACTGGATTTAACATCGACCCATTTCTTTAACTCTTTGAAGTTCTCTTCAAAACTGTCTGCCGTATCACCGGACTCATGGCCAGATTCTGTTAATGTCTTCCCAGAATCTTCTTCTGCTTCCTTAGACAAGGCCTTCTCAGTCTGGTACAAATTTATATCCTGGAGTTAATGATTTATGGGAATAGTGCCCAACTAAAAGAATTTATACATACTAAACCAGTAAACCTACTACTTGATTCCTTTTTCTGTGAGCTATCATTAGAAAGTCTGATGAAGATGGCTGCAAAAATACCGGCATTTTCTTCATAATAAGCACCTTTCTATCTTACCTTTTGCCCCAAAAGAGGTAGAATATGACAATTATTAAATTAATCGACCCTAAAAGTTTGAAATTAATAACAAAGATTGATCAAATATGATCAGTACGATACAAGATAAATTTCTCAGGCATATAATATATATATATATATATATATATATATATGGGTGTGGGTTCAATAAGGTTGCAACCTTAAACAATCCAATTAAAGCACCCCTTTAAATTTTATCACAAATATAATTTTGGTATAAAAATTCTTAGGATGGCTTGAGAATCTATTTTCATCTCTAATTCAATGTTTAAAAGAAAGGACCGCTCGGCTCCTAGGCGCCCAAAATTTTTTTTCCGCACACCTGGACTTGGGGGCCCCAACACGGGCGGCTATACCTGGGCGGGCGCCCAACGCGCAGCACAGTTTACGATTTTTTTTTTTTAACTTCGCCCAAAAGGGCAAAGGAGGTCATTTTGACCCTCAAGTTTGAATAAAATAAGTTTAGGGCTTTATTTTCAACCCCAAACTGAACAAAAAAACAAGAAACCTTATTTATGAGAATCTAAAGCAATTGCTTAGAATCGAAAATACTTCTTGTAGATTGAAAAAGTTTGTTTTTCTGATTGAAATTATTTTTAGGGTGCTATTGGTGGTATTAGAAGACTTTTAAGTTGATTCGTAGCTCGACTAAAATAGCCAACATCAAAGATCAGAGATTGGATAGAAAATGTCAATCTGTAATCTTTATTTGAGATTTATTTTTTCAATTTGAGATGTCTTCTGCGGGGTCTACTAGGGGTGGAGATTTGGGATGGAAATATTGTGTTAACCGGGATAAGAATGACAGAAATAAATTATGCGCAACTTCTGTGGACTTGTTTCTAATGCCGGCATAAATAGATTTAAGAAACACCTTGCAAGTATTAGAGGTGATGTCGCCCCATGTAAGAAAGTCCCAGATCTTGTAAAGAAAGAAATTTTGGAATACATTGACGTTGAAAAGAGTAAAAAAATTGCAAAAAAAAAAGATATAGCAGAATTAAAGTCAAGAGTTCATATTTTTTATGATAATACTGAAACTGAAGAAGAGGATGATGAAGAGGGGGAAGAAAAGGTAGTCATGGTTGGTACTCAGAGCTCTAAGACCAAGAGGGCTTTTGGGTCTAAGAAGGCTCGTACGAGAGGGCTTATAGATAGTTTCTTTACACCTCAAAAGAAAAGGGAAAAAACAAGTGACAAATGAAAATAGGTTTAAAAAGGAAGATAAAGCCAGGGTGATTCAGTATATTGCTCGATGGTTTTACCATGTGGGCATTTCTTTTAACACTGCTAGTTTGAATAGCTTCCATATTATGTTGGAAACAATTGGGCAATTTGGGCCAGGTTTGAAAGCTCCAACTCCTTATGAGATTGGAGAGCTACTACTGAAGAAAGAAGTCGAGTACACTAACGAATATCTCAAGACTCATAAGGAAGGATGGGCTAAATTTGGGATTTCTTTGATGACAGATGTGTGGAGTGATAGAAAGAGTAACATGAATTTATTAGTAAATTGTCCCACAAGTACAGTTTTGCGCTCAATCGATGCTTCCAATGATGTTCATGATGCGCATTATATATTTTCTTTCATTGATAAGATATTGAGGAGGTTGGAGGGGAACATGTAATTCAAGTGGTCACAGATAATACTGCTCCTAATCTAGCTGCAGGTCATTTGCTTTGACAAAAGAAGCCTCGCATATTTTGGACTCCTTGCACTGCACAGTACGTAGATCTTATGCTTGGTGAATTGCCTCCCATTAAAGAAATTATTTTTAAGATTAAGGAGGTTACTATCTTCATATACAGTCACATACTTACCCTCAGCATGATGCACAAGTTTACAAAAAAGAGAGAGCTAATGAGGCCTGAGGTCACTAGATTTGCCACTGCATACTTTAGTCTACAGAGCATATACAAGAGGAGGATCACATTGAGATCTATGTTTGCTTCAAAGGAGTGAAGTAGGTGTAAGTGGTCTAGAGATGCCAAGGGAAAGAAGACACGAGATATTATTCTTTTGAAATATTTTTGGTGTGGGGTGAAGTATACGACATTAGTATTTTTTCCCTTGGTGAAGGTCTTACGATTGGTTGATGCTGATAAGCCCTCCATGGGCCTTATATATGATGCAATTGAAATGGCTAAAAATGAGATTGTAGAGAATTTGGACGATGATGCAGCGAAGTATGCCCCAATTTGAGAGATTATAGATGATAAATGAGATAGGCAGCTCTATAAACCATTGCATGTAGCAGAGTACTACTTGAGCCCCAAATTCTTTTATGTAGGTGCAGATATTAAGTCAAAAGGGGTAATTATGGATGGTTTTAATGAGCGCCTTCAGAAATTAATTCCTAATCCAAATATCCAAGATAAGGTATCAATTGAAGAGCTAATTTCGTACAAGTGTTCTTTGATGTCATTTGGGAAAGATATGGTATTAAGGCAGAAAAACAAAGACGAACCAAGTAATATTCTTTTGACTTATGTACTTTTGTTTTATAAAATATAAATTTATAATTTTCTTTCAAGTTCTGATAACATTTAATACCTAAATTAATTCTAAAGGTTGCCCACATATTGCAGTCCAGTGGTGGAGGTAACATGGGAGTAACGCTCCAAACCTCCAAAAGATGGCTATGCAAATCTTGAGCTTGACAACTACCTCTTCTGGTTGTAAGCGCAATTGGAGTTCGTTTGAGAAGGTATTTTACTATTTTAAAGGAATAAAATTTTATATGTTTTTTTTGTTTATAAGTTCATATTCATTTTGTAATATAGATTCATAAAAGGTCAAAAGATCATAGATCTATAGTAGTTACTTATGCATATATATATGGAAGATGCTACAAAACGCCTATAGGTGAAAATGAATAGTGATTTCGCCTACCCTCATCACTGTACAAAGTTCATTGTACGGTTACGATTGTCCGGTAGTGTTTCATATTTAATTTTTTTTCTACAAATCGATATGACCTAAAATTTGAGGCGGGTATTCATAAAAAATAGGTGAATCTATGAAAACTTGAACACTTGAGTCTAGGCTCTAAACAAACAAATAAGAGCCTAACTTCAAAATAGTGTCGAGAAGTGTGGTTTCAGTACTGGAAATCTTTGTCATAGCGTTAAAACATATCTTTATATTTATTTAAAAGTTTAAAGCTTTAAAAATAGTGTAGAACGACCGGTCTATGAAAACCTGAAATTGACCGTCCAAAAATGCATTACAAAATGCACTATTTTCAAAACTTGAAATCCAATTTTTTCTCATGTCCATGCATATTGATGTCGAGATGATCAATTTGAAGATATTTAGGTATCAAAACGACATCTTCTAATGAAATTTTTGACGTAGGCTCAAATTTCATTGTTTCGAGCCTCGGCTCTATATAAAATTTTCCATATATATATATATGGGTGCGGTTTGTATAGAGCCTAGGCTCTAAACCATCAAATTAGAGCCTACCTTTAAATAGTGTTGAGAAATGTGGTTTCATTACTAAAAATCTATGATAGCCTTAAAATATATTTTCATCTTTATTTATAAAGTTTAAAAATTCAAAAATAGTGTAGATTAAGAGATCTATGAAAATTAGAAAAAATTGAAAATTTATATATATATATATATATATATATATATATATAGAAAA